AAACTGAAGTTCTTGGACTCTATTCCCCTAAAAAACATTCCCCAGCAGACTCCTCCCCAAACATCAGGAACAGGAATCCCCACAAAGAGACTTCTTATGAAGCCAGCATCTACTTTGGATGGCATCTTTAAGCCCATCTCCGAGGACTCTCCGTCATACTCCTTGGATGGCATCTTTAAGCCCATCTTCGATAGTCTTCTGTCACCTTTTCCAAATGACATATGTAAGCCCATTCCCAATATTATCCACTGTCAGTATCACTTCAGACGAGTGCAAATTTCTAGGCACTCGAATGTTCAATCATCTTCCACTATCAGATCACGAAAGACAGACCAACCAATGTACATCCTTAGGTCTAAGAAGATTGAACAGGGGCAATTGTTGTACCCCAAAATTTGCCCTCTCATTTTCTTTCAAAAATTTCTTTAACATGGGTGGTTGCAAACATCTGCTTGAGGAAAGTAAAATTTGAAGATGAACGAAATGTCCTTAGATTGGAGCATCAGAGCTTCCTTCGATTGGAGCATCAGAACTTCCTTTGATTGGAGCATCAGAGCTTCCTTCGATTGGAGCATCAGAGCTTCCTTCGATTGGAGCATTAGAGCTTCCTTCGATTGGAGCATCAGAGCCTCCTTTGATTGGAACATCATAGCTTCCTTCGATTGGAGCATCAGAGCTTCCTTCAATTGGAGCATCAGAGCTTCCTTCGATTGGAGCATCAGAGTTTCCTTCATTGGAGCATCAGAGCTTCCTTCAATTGGAGCATCAGAGCTTCCTTCAATTGAAGCATCAAAGCTTCCTTTGATTAGAGCATAAGAGCTTCCTTTGATTGGAGCATCAGAGCTTCCTTCGATTGGAGCATCAGAGCTTCCTTTGATTGGAGTATCAAAGCTTCCTTCGATTAGAGCATCAAAGCTTTCTTCGATTGGCATGCCAAGGTAGAGTATCCTTCGAATGACATATTAGTGCAGAGATGTCTTAATCTAAAATGTTCTAATAAGGGAAGTTCTGAATACTTCGAATCAAAACTCAGAACCATCGAAGGGAACAAGGGATGGTCGAAGGGGTTTTGGAGAGGGAAACTTTGAATATTTTCAAATTCCAACAAGGCGCCAAGTTGACCTGTCCAGATTCACTAAGAATTCCAAAATGACATGATATATCTCAAAATGGAAATCTTTCAATTTGCCTGATTTTGTTTTCAATACCATGTTTAATGGTTGGCCAGTAATGCCATGATCCTTTCCACATTTACTTGTCTCCTCCACCTCCTATAAATACATGACATATACTGCATCACAGGATACATTTTTTTTGCACACAAAGAGATCATGCTGCCACATTGCTCAAAGAAATCCCAAAAGTGTCCCAATCGGAGCACTTTTTTTTGCAGGCACCTTCATCCCAAACAAAGACTAGATTCTTGTTCCTGAGACATCTAGGAGTCCACACCAACTCCTAAGCAAGTGTCTCCACTCCCATGAGTGTCAAACCGAAGCATCTAACAACTCCAATCCACACACAAGTTCCAGTTTCAAGCAAGGTAAGTCCTCTCGACCTTGCATCTTTTGTTTCAGCATAACACGTAAACGAATTTTTGTTTATTTTCTTGGTTTCTGTATTTTTGGTTTGTTTGTTTTTCTTGTCGAAATATATGTTGGAACTAACCTGTACAGACTCAAATGAAATACGAAAAGGGTGTGAACGAAGGACTTACACTCATGATGCTCTGTAGGTCTATATTGTTTCATAGGTCAATCGAAGGAAGCATAAATGGTGGTAATCGATGATTGCTCACACCAACTCCCCAAACTCAATCGAAAGGAAGCAAAAGAAGAGTGAATCGAAGGAGTCTACTGACTGGGTCGAAAGGCAGCTTCCCCTCTAGATCGAAAAGCCCCATTTTCTCCCTGATCGAAGGATGCCCCTTTGTATTCTTATTTGGATTTTGTTCTTTTTTTTTATTTGAATTTTTTATCATTTAAATTAACTTTAAATCAATAATCACAAAAAAACATTAGGTTAGTGTTTTATTAGTCAAATTAATTTTGTAAAAAAATTAATTAATTAAATTTTAACTACTTTCTTAATTTAAAATGAATTAGAATGTAGGATTTAATTTATGTTTCAAATGCTTTCTTAAATAAAAAATGTAAAAAATATTAGAATTAGTTTAATTTCATTCAATATTTATTTTCTTGAGTTAAATTTTGAATTAATTATTTTCTTAACAAAAACAACAAAGAGAATTTTATTTAATAGTTCCTAGGTTTTTTAGACGTAATATTTATTTCGCGCGTGTTATTTTTATTCTTGCATTTTTACATAAATATTGTAACTGATTATGGATGTAATAGTTTTAGATTTAAAATTCCACACTTTATTTCTTGCACTCTTTTTTATGTAATTGTCCCAAAGCATTGTAATATCATAGGTTTTATAATTCCCGAACTTTACATTTTTCTGTATAATATTACTGTTAGTAACTAGGCGTGTATGATAAGACTAGGAAATTAAAATGTTAGCTAACCTAACAAAATAACAAAAATAACTGAATCTCAACACACTTGCACATGCTCACCCCTAGGGTATCTCCCACTTTGGTTGTCTTCGAAAAAATAGTCATGTCCCTCGAAACGGGGATACTTTAGCAAAGACCCGTAAATTAAAAAGATCATAGTCCCTCAATGACCCTACAATTTTCTTTTAGTAAATGATCTAGTTCCTAAACAAAATTGCTAAAGTGCCTCTACATGTTTCCTTTATGAGTGTAAACGTCCCTTCGATTGTCCCTCAAACATCCAACGATAGGGCTACCTACTCACTAATAGTAGGATAACACTGTCTAAAGGGAAAGAGGAAAATAACAATCTTTTTCGAGTATAAAATTAGATAGTTGTTAGAAGTTTGCTCAAAACATTTTGCACTTACACAAATACTACTTTTCAAAAACAACTTTAAAAAACATTTGCTTTGTCAACACTCTTGAGGACTGATACAAGTGTTGATGCAAAGCAAATCGCCACACTAAGGCATTCTTAAAACATTTTCAAACACACAAAGCACAAAGGTATTTTAAAATGAGCAAACCTCTAAGAGCCCGTAGAAAACTACGGATGGAAAGGGTGCTAACACCTTTCCTTTCCATAATCTACCCCTCTTACTCAGAAAACTCTCGTAAAAGGTCTTTTTCTGTTCTTTTCACCCTTTCCTTTGTTGGATAAAAGAAAAGTTTGTGGCGACTCTTTCTTACCGCACATTTGTGAATACAAAATGCAAACCAGTATTAAACAGTAGGTTCTGCCACCGTATCACAGTTGTCATTGATGGTAAGTGTGTGTTCTGCAGGCTCCAAGAAAGTGGTAACTGTATTTTCTTTGATTGTACTTTTACTAAGAAATTATGGATAAATATTTTTAACTAGAAGGGCATATATCACAACCCGTTGGGATGAGATTCAGAGTTGAATTGGATTATCCAGGTGACTAGTGGAAAAAGTGCTATAAGTAATCTCATTAAATTTTCTATAGCTGAGATTACTTATGCTATTTGTACAACTCAAAACAAGACTATCTTTTAGAAGAAGACTACTAATTCTCTCTACAACATGGAAGTGATTTATATTATCCTTATGAGAGTGAGTATCAGTAGAAAATTGAACATATTTTGTAATAGATATTAATTGTCTGACCCTTTTTGTCCTGTAGGATTGTTGTCTGTCTCTTTGTAGCCAGAATCTTGTTGATCGACTTTGTACTTCAACGTATTTTTTGGGAATAAAATTTTCCTTTTGATCCAAAAACATTCATAAGTTTCATAACAACATTCTTTTGTAAAATACTATTTGGTTGTCCTCGTTGTGAGCATATTTTTCTTTTTTCTAAAATATTTATTTGAATAATTATTTACCAAAAGCAAAATTAAATTATCTAAAAAAGAGTTTCATTATATATATATATATATATATATATATATATATATATATATATATATATATATATATATATATATATATATATATATATATATATATATATATATATATATATATATATATATATATATATATATATATATATATATATATATACACACACACAGGCGGATACAGCATACGGCCAGCTTGGGCAAATGCCCAGGCTCAACGGCCCAATTTTTTTTTTAGTACCCAGCTCAATTTTTTTTAGTATTAAATAAAATTAAAAGAAAAAGAAAAAATAGTGAAAGTTAGAATTGGAAAAACCTAAAATTAGGAAAACCTACAGAGAAAAAAAACTGCCTGCCGCTGCTCACTTTTCTTCATCCTGTTCAATCTGTGTTCTTCTATCTGTTTAATCCTTGTGCAATCTATCATCATTCCTATAGGCTATATTATTTCTACAGGCTATATAGCAGGTAATATAAATTTGGTTATTAAATAGTAGATGCAATGTGTGTTCTCTTTCTTTCTATATAATATAAATATACTAGAAACTATATGTGTTTTATAAAATACTATTTGGTATATTATGTTTGTCACAGAGATAATCTAGATTACTAATATGTTCGCATAGTATTAGATAGAAACATATATAATTCTTGTCTTTTTGTACTTTTAGATAGACATACATGATACATAGACACATGTCAGCTTAAATGCTTTGTATTTTTAAGCCACTAAATTAGTACAAAATTGAATTGATATACTAGATAAACATAGATACATAATAATTTGCCTTGTTTAATTTCATGTTTGATTCTAATTTATTTATTAGAGTTTAGGTTGATTGATTAATCATGTACTAATTTATTTATTTATTAGAGTTTAGGTTGTTTGATTAACCATATACAATTACAAATACTAATTTATTTATTAGAATTTAGGTTGTTTGATTTTTATTATTTTAAATTTTATTTTATTTATTTGAAGAACATTTTTAATTCTTATTTGTTTTATTTGATTATTATTCTTTTAAATTTTGAAACTACAATTTTGTAATTATTTTATCTTTTGTTTAGAGATGAGGGAATTTTTGGTTGCTAGAGAAAATATTGAGAATGTGAATGTTGTGCAATCGGAAGTCGAATTAGAACCACCATCTAATGTGGTTAATGAGTTTAATCCAAATGAGATTGTGCGAGATCCAGGTCATAGGAAACAAATTAATGAGTATGCTCCGGATATTCAAGACCAAGTGAGGAGGGCATATATATTGAAGGGTCAAATGCAACCAGATTTGCCAAGCTTTCCTCGTACTACATTTGGGAGTGTTAAAAGATCATTTAGTAAATCATGGTATAAGAATTATACATGGTTAGAATACAGTGAGATAAAGGATGCAGCTTATTGTTTTTATTGTTTTCTCTTTAAGAAACCCGGGAGGGCCGAGCACTTTGGTTTTGAAGTCTTCACTAAAAGTGGATATAGAGATTGGAAGCATGCATCTCAAGGCTTGAAAGGTCACGTTGGTAGTCATAATAGTTTGCATAACTCATGTGTCAAGCACTATGATGATTATAATAATCAAAGACAAAGTGTGACAAGTAAGTTTGCTAAAGCAACCAAGGAATCAGAAGAATTATATAAGATTCGTTTGACTTGTTCTTTAGATTGTTCAAGATATCTCATAGCACAAGGCATGGCTTTTCGTGGCCATGATGAATCCTCTACTTCTCTAAATAAGGGTAATTTTAGAGAGATGGTAGATTGGGTAAAATCTCAAAATGAACAAGTGAGGGACGCTTTTGACCGTGGTGGAAAAAATTGCACAATGACTTGCGGTGACATTCAAAAGGAGCTTGCAACATGTTGTGCACATGAAGTTACCAAGGTGATTATGGAAGATCTTGGTGATAGACAATTCTCCGTGCTTATTGACGAGTCACGTGATATATCCGTCAAAGAGCAAATGGCGGTGATGTTGAGGTTAGTAGTTGTATTTTCTAATTTTCATGACCTATTATTTTTTATGCCGCCAAGTAAACTTGTTGAATTTATTTTAGGTTTTTGAATGACAAAGGAAATGTTGTGGAACGATTTATTTCTCTACATCAGAGTCATTAAAGAATGCTCTTTATGGTATTCTTGATAAGTACACGTTATCGATTTCAAGGATACAAGGGCAAGGATATGATGGAGCTTCAAATATGAGAGGTGAATTTAATGGTTTGCAAAGAAAAATTCTAGATGAAAATCCTTATGCTTTCTATGTTCATTGTTATGCTCACCGCTTGCAATTAGTTGTTGTGTCTGTTACTAGTAGTTGCTCATCTATTCATGATTTCTTTGAGTACATCTCCTTGATTGTGACCATAACAAGTGCATCTTGTAAGAGGAGGGATGCTTTGATAGAGGCACAACACCAAGATATTTTAAATAAACTTGAGAGTGGTGAGATATCTAGAGGAAAGGGCTTGCACCAATCATCTAATCTCACAAGACCTGGGGATACTAGATGGGATTCACATCATACTACATTGCTTCGTTTGGATCAAATGTGGCCCTCTGTGTTAAAGGTGCTTAGTATGGTTGATGAAGATGGACGTGGACCATCTCAAGCAGCGGGTTTGATAGAAAAAATGGAGAGCTTTAAATTTGCTTTCATTTTGAAATTAATGTTAAAGTTGTTTGGTATCACAAACGAGCTTTCAAATGTCTTGTAAAGAAAAGATCTTAATATTGTGATTGCCATGGAATTAGTTGATGATGTCAAAGCTCGATTGGCCACAACGAGAGAGAGTGGTTGGGATAATTTATTTTCTGATGTCCAAGATTTTTGTGTTGCTAAAGGTATTCCAGTTCCAAATATGGATGATGAAATACCGGTTCGGGGTCGTTCAAGGGTTGAAGGGAGGACTGTCACTAATCTTCATCATTACCGTGCAGAGATTTTTTATGTTGCTATTGACAAAATATGTGTGGAGATGGATCATCGCTTTAGTGAAGAAAGTAACATTATCCTTAATTGTTTTTCATGTCTTGATCCCAAAAACTCTTTCTCCAAGTTTAATGTTGATAAGCTTGCTCGTCTTGCGGATATTTATCGTGTAGACTTTTCTGATGATGACCGAGGAACAATAAGGGATCAACTTGAGACTTATGTTCTTCAAGTGAGAAGAAATGCTTCATTTTCCACTTGTGAAGATGTTCAAAGTTTTGCTATAAAGATGGTTCAAACTGAGAAACATTTAGTATTTCCATTGGTTTATAAACTTATTGAGTTAGCTTTGATATTGCCGGTGTCGACAACATCCGTTGAAAGAGCTTTTTCAGCAATGAAGATTATCAAGTCTAAATTGCGCAATAAGATCAATGATGTGTGGTTCAATGACTTGATGGTATGTTACACTGAGCGGGAGATATTCAAATCACTTAATGATATTGATATTATTAGAACATTCACCGCAAAAAAGTCTCGGAAAGGACATTTGCCTCGTAATTTTATTTAACCCGCTATTGTAAGGTTATATTTGTCTCTTTTATTTTAAACTATATTTTTTGTGGACAAAATGGCGAGTCTCTGTTATTTTGATTGATGAGTATTTATATATTATATACAATGTGAATTTGTGATCTTTAATTTTTCGCCCAGGCTTTATAATATTTCTAGCTCCGCCACTGTATATATATATATATATATATATATATATATATATATATATATATATATATATATATATATATATATATATATATATATATATAGTTTTGTTTTGGAATTAGAATTAGACATAATCGGTTGATGTTGAATCCTTAATTGGTGGTGTTCATATCCGAAAAGGTGGTGCTGGGGTGGACCTACGAGGTTATTACTCCAACTTCCAATTCAGTTTAAAATTCAAGATGAATATAGTGAAAAATAGAGATTCGAAAAATGTCTCTTTCATTTCGTGTGACTTGACTTTATAATTAAGGTCGTGTAGAATGGATTTGAGTACAAGTGTGTCTTAGTTTTCTAGCCTTTGGCCGGCCCAAATGATTCCCCCAAAGACTTGCCGATCACATATGAAGTTGGAAAATCCTTTAAGGATCGAGGCAGGCCTCCAAGAATGTTGTCTGATGCGAGCTGAAAATGAAATGTTTGAACCAATTTAAAAAGTAGTGGGTAACCAACACATTAAATTCATTTCTATAATTGAAATGTTTCGTTGCTTCCTTCTGAAACATGGGCTAACGAGACTAGCTTGGGCATGGAGTTTCTTGAAGTGCACTAGAGTTTTTTTGTGTTCCCAAGGAGAACTCCAACTATTGATGTAACCCCCTAAACCCTGAATCTTAATATAAAAGAATTAAACACTCATTTTAGGATGTTACTCAAACAAAACATGCAAATACATTTCAAATAAATTCAACAAGTCGCAGCGGAACTTAATAAATAACACATACTTCAATTTATCTCTTCAAACTAAAATACTGAATTCAAATAATATAATCCAAATATTAACTCAAACAAATTAAATGACATGTTCCCAGATGTTATAGATCAGAGCAATAATCCAACTAAACAATAAGAAAACAATAAAAAAATGAAGAAAGCTTCACAGTTCTCTTCCAGCTCACAGCAGCACTTGCTCCTCATGAGTATATATATTACATTACATAGAAAAACACGAAACAAACAACAAAGGGGTGAGAATACGCTCAATACTAATAATAATGTAAAATAATGCAAGGGTATCATATTCATCACAATCATCAACACATATTCAACTCACATAACAACATAACAATCAATTCACATAGGATTTATGTAAGCAACCCGACTCATAACTCGAATCAATATATGTGGTACCAATTTAGACATCAAAAGCTTGTTACTGATCTCGCTCACTCAACAATGGTTCTTCATTTAAACCGATCTCCGCTTCTGAACCCCAAGCCCCCACTTATGAAACATGAACTTATCATTGACCACCACTTCTGAACTTGTGACTTACCTCTTTTAACTCTGACATGTAGGAAAAATGACCTAAAAACATTTCAATAACACTTATAGTTCCACTTGTCACATACAACAACCACATGACACTCACAGGAGTTTCCACTTAGAACTACACACCACAACACAAACACATATATTTATATTCACTGTACATAATTATATAAACTACATCATAATACATATACATAATTATAATTCACCACTTATAATTATACAATCAATTATTTATTATGTAACTCATCATAATAATTCATTTAATCAATTAAATTCATCAAATACACTCAAAGAGCATCTAAACAGCGACTGTACAAGAAAACAACATCAAAAAACAGATCAAATGCCCAAAAATAGCCCCTGACGACCGTGACGACCAGCTTGTCACTAGGGTGATAACCTTCACGCAGCCCGTCATGCAAACCTTCACCCTCTAGATACCGTGACGGTCTCCTTGTCATCACACTGATAATTGTTATCTTATTATAACGTGGGATGACCAGCTCATCACACCCGTGACGGCTATCACGTTGTCGCATAACTCAAAATCTATTCAGCCATGGGAGCTCATTCCAAGCTCCGATTTCTACCCTAACACCCCAAATCGCATAAAAAATAACTGACACATATTATACAACAATTAGAAATCACTTAACCATCAATTATCATTCAAATTCATCAATTAACCATGACACCAAAATCTATACATGACAACAACGACATTCAAATTTTATACAAACACATCTTGTATAATATCCAACACATAATAGAACACAGATTTATACATTAAACATGGTAATTAGCACGGATTTTACATACTCAAAATCAAAAACTCATCAATCACAACAATGATAAAGAAAACCTAGAGGAGAGTGAGGGCCCCTCTCTACCCTTCATGCAACAACACCTATATTTGAGTAGTCCCTCTTACCTTAATTTCCGGCATCTATTAAGGTTTAGTTATGGCTATGGTGTTCTTCCTCTTCCTCAAACCCTAGTTTTCCTTTCGCCTCTTTTTCTCTAACTCTTACAATTTCACGTGACAAGTTTTTACTACCACTATCCCTTTCTATTAATATTAACCTACTTTTATTTTTCATAATTCTCAACTTTCTCTCAACTTTTAGGCTCTTACTCCTTACCACACTAATTTCTCTAAAAGTCTACTTCTACCTTATAGTCCACTATTTCTCTTATTTTATATTTATTTTATTATTATTCTATTATTATAATAAAATAAACTACACCAAATTCTCATTAACCCATCAAATATCACATAAATCACATAATTAATCTAAAATAAGTTAAACCACTCTAGTAATTAAACAAAAGCAATAAAAATCAAATTAAATTAATTAATCGAATTCGAGGTGTTACAACTCTCCCCCACTTAAAGAATTTTTACCCTTGAAAATTACCTGAACGAAAAAGATAGGGATAAGACTCTCTCATCTGACTCTCCAGCTCCCATGTCACACTTCCTCCAGTAGGTCCTCCCCACACTACCTTCACCCGAACAATCTCTTTACCTCTCAAGTGTTTCACTTCTCGATCATCAATTCGCAATGGTGATGCCTCCATAGTCAAGTCATCTCTCACTTGTACATCATCCATATTAATCACATGAGACAGATCAAGATTATACTTTTGAAGTTGAGACACATGAAAGTATCATGAAGATTCGAAAGAGACGGCAGTAAGGAAACTTTGTAAGCCACTTCTGCTATTCTCTTCAAAATCTTGTAAGGACCAGTGAAACGAGGCATGAGCTTTCGAGATTTCAAAGCATGACCAACACTAGTCACCGGAGTGACCCTAAAAAATATATGATCTCCCTCTTAGCTATCAAGTGATTTCCTCCGCTTATCATGGTAACTCTTCTTCTTATTCTACAACGCTTTCATATTCTCCTAAATCATCTTAATCTTCTTATTAATCTGCTGAATAATCTCAGGTCTAAGCATTGCACTTTCACTAGAATAAGATCAACACATATGTGTCCTACAATTCCTACCATACAACGCTTAATAAAAAGCCATTCCAATACTAGAATGGTAATTATTATTATTATACGTAAACTCAATCAATGGCAAGTAATTGTCCTAGTTACCTCCTTGCTCCAAAACAC